ACCAGCAGACCGATATGACAATAATCCCCATTGGTGTTCAGGTGGACTACCGCGCTCTATGCACGGCGCTTGAGCTGGTCCACGCCACAACACGCGCGCAGCCCTGCTGACAGCCCCGCTGACAGCCCCGCTGACAGCCCCGCTGACTGCCTATTCCCTGCCGTCCATTGTTAATTTTATTACAAAATTTATCCAAAACAAATGTATTTTTTTTTATTTAAAAAAACCAAAAGCTCGGCGGTGGAAAAGATGGCAGTTTTGTCAGTTGACACGACCAGCACTGGGTACTCCATGGGCGGCACACTTCACGTTTACTGACTAATTACCACAAACGCCGTATAAACTCGATAAAAATGGAGTACTTCAAATACTTATTAGTTGTTGTTCTCGAGTGCCAGATCAGTTCTGTTCACATCACCGTCAATGTTGCGTTATATGTTTGGCAATATGGTGAAGTGAAGAATGTTTCAAAGTAAATGTACACAACATGATTATGCAAATGTAAAAAGTTAATTATGTATACTTGAATTTAAATTGTTACAATATTGGGGGTTAGTTTAAGTCGTGAAAATGAAGGAATGAGAACACTCAGCCATTAGCTTTCTGTACATTAACAACCGTGGGCTTATGAGACCAAAATCCCCGTTTAAAACAATTTGTTAACTCTGTTTTGTTAAAGATGAAAAACAAGGATGCCGATATATTTCATACAGAGATTTTGGTGTAACCGAACTAAAACCTGATCAGCAAAATCTAAATAAACATATTCCATCAAACTTAATTTATTTCATATTATTAATAGAGGTTATGCCTATGTCAAAGTTGTAGCCGTTCAATCGATCCGATTAATTAGTGAATAATGTTCCCGATGTAAGAGCTATTGCCTGCAGCCGGCGCGATTCGCGTAGTCACACACGTGCTTGATGGGGTTGAAGTGCAGGCCGGCGGGGCATTGCCGACAGATGGCAACGTCGCCAACGCAGTAATAGAACAGCTCGCAGTCAGCGGGATGCGGCAGCAGCTGATCCTCGCCGACGCCGGCGCAGGACACGTCCGCCACATAGCTGGCCACGCAACGCGCCGGGATGTTGTTTCGGTACAGGAGCGGATGCACTTGCGGCAGCGGTAGTACACTAAGGAAAATATAAAAGATTTTTCAAAAGTAGGCAGAAAGATACGAAACAAGAATAACATCAGGTTTACTTGGGTTGACTTACTCGTACTTCGTACTCAGAGTGATAATTAGGTCACTGAAGGAGATCTTTTCTCATGCTGAAACTACACTAAGGGAGACAACGTAACTGCTCTAGATGTGGCAGATACAGTATCAATTTTGAAGGATATTCCGAGACGTAAAATGCTAAAAAGACTGTACTTACGGATGTCCGTTGTCAGCGTTCAGATCGTGAGCGAGACATCCCCACAAGCCGAGGAGCAGGATAGAGAAGAGCAGGGTGTGTGTTGCCATGGTGACCGAGTCTTGTCGATTCCCAACTATAATATCCTTCCAAACCTAAGCTCGCCTTATAAAGCAATGGATAAGTGGATTAGACGCACTCGAGACCTGAGATTATCCTCGATGACGCGCCTAAACCCTTGTCCTACTCAAGTAACTGATAATATTAACAATAATTTTACTAAAAGACACGATTTACAGAATGAAATATCGCTTTGTAGTGACCGACAGACAGTACTGCAGTTTTAATTGGAGGAAAACTTGAAAATTCAAAGGACTAGTCGCAAATCGTGAATGTATAATATTAAAACTATCATCCACGGCGGTGTTCTGCCAGGACTTTTATTCTTCTCATCAGGTTCGCGGTTAGGCAGGAAATTATTTATTGTACATTTCAATAATTATGTCATCAAAATGATTATTGTGCAAAATTATTTGTAATAATCATTCTGCGATACGTGAGTATATTGGCATTATTGTTATTGAAGGCAACTTAAACATTTACTGAGTGTCGATTTCTCAAACTAAATCAGGTACGCACTAAGGGACTCAGTGACCAGTCAACATCTCTGAGTGTAGCAGTGTATGTCTTAAGAAGTGAAGTTTCTAGGAAACATAATTAACAGCCCATATACTTTTCCATCTTTTTGTTCTACATCTAAGCCAAATTTCAGCGAGACCTATACAGCCGTTCTGGAGATACCTTCAAACAAACATCCATCTATCCATGCATCCGTCATTAAATCCATCCAAACAGTCACATTTATAATGTTGGTAAGATTAGTAAGACCTACCTGTGACATAGTTCGCGCGGAATTACAAAAAAAACAGGATGAAAGTAGTAGGTACTATGTGGAATAACAGTAGGAATAGTTTTTGCCAAATTTGAATAAGATATATCGAACCTTTGGAGAGTGATCAAGTGACTATGTGGATCAACAATTCCCACGTGGAAACCATGTACATTTCCGAGATTGTAAGTAGTCTGCGTGTTGCTCCAGACTGTTATTTACATCTTAACATCTAGCCAAACATTCGCATTTATAATATCAGTAAGATATTATTTTATAGCAAACATTTAAATTTTATTGATCATTAAATGACAACTTAAAGTTCATTAATGTAATCGAAACGAGAAATAGTTAATAAATTAATAAAACCAATAAACCGATTTGAATAAAAATTTACGAAGAATAAAGTTTACTAATTTGGTCTACTTAATAGTCCTCAACCAAATTATTTATTACATAAATTAAGTCATTTCAACAAATTCTGTTAAAATCGAACATATCTATCAGATCAGTTCAGAAATAGCGCGAACAAATGAAAGTGAGACTTATAATAGTTAAAGTTAATGTAAAGGACTGCAGTAAGATTATAAATAAAAAAATCTTTTATTATACGTTAATGTCGAATTTCGACCAATGAGCGACCAGCTCAATGTTATTCAAATAAATCAAATATCTTTAATGTAAGGCTGGCATTTAATATTATATACTACGGTTTTAGTCCATTTTACACATAGGAGGGTATTTAATTTATAATCTTTAATTTGTACTTAACCGGGACCTCTTCATACTATCGGGTTAAACAAAAATACTACATATATACAAATTTACAGGTTTTTTGGTACGAGGAGTAATAAAAAACTGTCGTAGCTAAAATCAACTTTTTTTTATTATCGCTATTTGATTGTAATATAATTAACATTGTGATATAATATGTTGGCGGTTTACTCCTGGTCGGGATGTGAGGCGCGGGCGCTGACGCAGCCGGAGCGCGCGGCCCGCTCGCACACGTGATGAGTGGGGCTGAAGTGCAGGCCGGAGGGGCACTGCCGGCAGATGGCGACGTCACCCACGCAGTAGTAGAACAGTTCGCAGTCGTCAGGGTGCGGCAGAAGGCGGTCCTCGCCGACACCGGCGCATGGCAACTCACTCGTAGTCATCTCTAAACAACGCCGCGGAATATCGTTGCTACCAGAGTTGTCAACTCTCCTATTTAAGTAATGTTTTTGATGAATAAACAAAGAAAATCTCTTTGAAAAATTTCAAAGTTTTTCAATTTCACAGCAAATACTCACATATCCTCTGAGCGAAAGACCCTTCCACCTAGAGCGCCGCACGCCCAGACTGCGAGAAGGCAGAGCAAAATTCCCCGGTACACCATGATGCTAAGTACAATATCAACTCAGAACAGTTTCTGCACACGCATTATATAGCTACCAAGCGCCACTCAATTCTATCAGATTACATCCTTTCGGTCTGCGCCAAAAGATGTCGCTCTGAGTGCCTGATAACTTGAACAACACATTTCGCAGATATCATTTATGTTTGCATTCCTAACCTCCAAGTCTCAATAAATATTATATTGTAATAATAAACCATAATGTCCGTTTGATATTTATTTACTTTTCAGTTAAGTTTTCGTATACGAATGATATCGTAAGGGGGCAAACGAACCGGAATTCCCGGAAATACTGAAACCACTGCTGCCTATACACATCGACAGTTGCAGACGCGTTGCTTATTTTTAAATAACGGAAAAGGGGACGCACACACCTCACTTTCTCTTCCCATCTTTTATGCATAAATAAAGTGTTATTTGTCTCGATCGTACACGTCATAAGTACATCCCGGTGAGATGGGATCAGTCGATGTCA